GGCTTGAATCCTTGGCAGTGAATGTGTCCATCACCCCAACGGCTTGAAACCTTGGCAGTGATTGTGCCATTCACCCCAAGGGCTTGAATCCTTGGTAGTGATTGTGTCCTTCACCCCAACGGCTTGAATCCTTGGCAGTGATTGTGTCCGTCACCCCAATGGCTTGAAACCTTGGCAGTGATTGTGTCCGTCACCCCAATGGCTTGAAACCTTGGCAGTGATTGTGTCCGTCACCCCAATGGCTTGAAACCTTGGCAGTGATTGTGTCCGTCACCCCAATGGCTTGAAACCTTGGCAGTGATAGTGTCCGTCACCCCAACGGCTTGAGTCCTTGGCAGTGATTGTGTCCGTCACCCAAACGGCTTGAAACCTTAGCAGTGATTGTGTCCGTCACCCCAACGGCTTGAAACCTTGGTAATGAATGTGTCTGTCATCCCAACGGCTTGAAACCTTAGCAGTGATAGTGTCCGTCACCCCAACGGCTTGAGTCCTTGGCAGTGATTGTGTCTGTCACTCCAAAGGCTTGAAACTTGGGCAGTGATTGTGTCCGTCACCCCAATGGCTTGAAACCATGGCAGTGATTGTGTCTTTCACCCCAATGGTTTGATTTCTTGGCAAGGGGCTTTCGTTACTTTCTTATATTAGGACATTTTGTTTTATTTTATTTTATTTTTTAATACCTTTCACTTTCTTAGGCACTGCGCCTCGGACTTCCTCAGCTGCCTCGCATATGCCATTGGCTACCTTTAAGGGTATTCTTATTCATTCCTTGTATCTCATTTTATTTTATCATGTATACATACTCAAGGAACTCTTTTCTCTTTAGATCATGCCACATTGCAAAATCCGTGGTCTGCTTGTGGGAATCACAACTTGTCTTCTCCCCCACCTAAGTCTCTTCAAGCCGTACACTAAGGTATACTTCATTCATCTATATATGTAAATTGTTTTTACCTTCTACGTTTTCATTGAGTATCTCCTTCTATTTTCATAGAAAATACTTCTGACACATTGGAAGAGACAGACGAAATTACTTCTGATACGTCGGAAGAGGCCCAAATTCTTGCAGACTTACTTGAAGCAAATGGGGTTAACAAATTATTTGACAAACTTGAAGCACCCTTTGCTCCATCTAGCTTTCTTTTGGGAACTTCCTCTAATGAAGCAGCCATCCATATTCAGAAAGGTCTTATTATTTCTCTCCAATCACTGACGGATGTTAATGGCATGATTGCTGTAGCAAACAACGTTTTCATGATTTTGAAGAGTTTGGGTGTAGACTTCATCTCTTTTTACGAGAAGGTGAAGATATTCCTTGGGTGCTTTGCTTCGAAAACCCAACTTGCAGATTCTTCAAACTTGTCTACTGCAGAATTTGAGGCCCAATATTACGAGAAGAAGCTTCATTTCGACAAAGTTTCTGGCGAACATGAACAGTTGTCTGCTTCAATTATCAAGTCGGATGAGCACATCGCGGGTCTTAATCAAAGGATTATTCAAACCAAAGAGTTACTCAAACAAGCGGAACATGCATCATTTATGTGTGATTTTGCACAAGCTTCCGAGAATGTTTCTAAATCAGAAGAAGACGTGCAAACTGCCCTGAATGTTTTGAGCCAACACAAGAAGAAGAATGGACAACACAGTGTTGTGGAACGTGCCTTTGAAAGGGCTAAGGCTTCTCTTAATGAATGAATGCACTTTTATTTTGTTATTCATCCGAACATAATGTATTTATGAAATTTCGCTCAGTGATAGATTGTAATAACTCTCATCACTGCTTACCGATAAAACATTGATTACCGTCAAACTGAACTGATTATGATTGATAATTGAATTGATTAAAGTACTGAACTGACTGATTGAAAACTGGAACTGAATTGACTGAGTATGTATGTTAATTTGTATTCTATCTGTTTGATTGTTTATTTGATCTGTTCATGTTTTATGTTCAAACTGCTAATTGGAGGCCTTATCGGCGGCCGAACCGGGAATTGATTGATGTTTTATGATCATCATAATTTATGTGATTTTATGGTATAATTATCTGAAAACTGATTAGGTATGATTAAATTAGATTAAATATCAATGAATTGCAAGTGTTAGGCTTATTTACACTTTTGCCACACTTAGTGGCCACTATCTTACACACATTTGAGCCTTGTATACACTTATACACTTAGATCAAAACATTGCTCAGCCTTTCTCCTTGCCATAGTCGACCAAGAGGGAGAGAGAGTGAAAGATTGAATTGTTCATCTCGAATTGCTTGGGAACTTGAAGAATTGCTTAGTAATTGAAGTATAGATTACATATTTGAGCTCCTAGTCTTCTAATTCCAAGACTTAAGTAAGGATTTCATCTTCTCATTCTTGTGTTTGAGCTAATTCTTGCATGGTCCATGTTAAATTGTAGAGCTAAGTCATGTTTTAGTTCTTACATGTTGATATAGAGCATAATCCATGCATGCATGTTTGAATTGTTGGATTTTGAGTTGAGTTCATGGCAAATTGTTACATGCATGTCCATGATTTTGTAATGGTCCATGTTTTCATCTTGTTTTTGGATAAATTGGCTCCTTAGAGCATCAAATTGAGCTTTGAGTTGTTTAAAATTCATGCATGTTTGCATGTTCATCCTGTTCTTGAAAATAGTTTGAAATTGAGTTTGAATTAAACACCCTGGGGCTTTGATTTCTCAATGTTGAGTTTTGAATCATGTTTAACTATGTGTTTACAAATGTTTTCTGGAAATTCAGCCCAAGAGGTCGAGTTTTGAGTTGTTAAAACTTGGTTTTTGGCTTGGAGGTGCAATCTGGGTTTTCCAGATTTTGCACTTCCGCTCGAGCGGGGAAA